CTCAGTTGCATTGGCTGCAAAAGGTTTCGTGTCAAATACGCTCCGAGGGACACTACTACTATTAAAACAATTAATTTAGGCATATATAAAAGATGACATTAGAAATTTTAGAAGATTCAATAGCTCTTTTAATAAAAATACAAACACCGCCTCTTCTTCTACCATCAATTCGGTCTCTTCTATATATTGTGTACCCAGTTAAATCTAAATATGTACTAGATTGAAACCAAGTTTCACATACTATTACTAAGTCAATATTTAATGTAATAATTTTACTAATAAATAGAGATAATTTTATTGAGTTGTTAATAAAAGTTGCGTTTGTATGCAAGCATTTTAGTTTGTTTAATTGATTTTTATTGTTTTAAATTTAATTGATTCAAAATCATTGCTTTTAGTATTATTGTTATTATTATTATTATTGTTACTGATGTTGTACTTGGTAATTTTTTACAATTCTTTTAAAATTTTTATAATTTTGATTATTTTTACATTTTTAATTTTAATGTTGATAATTTTCTTATCTTAATAATGAATCTAAAGGGCTGATTTTCAGTTTGTTTATCATTTAATTTATTTCTTTCCACGATTAATATTTTTTTTCTTTCTCGTTGCGCTAAGGTGAGGTCAGGGTTAATATGAACTTTATTTCTATATTCGACGATTTTACTCAATTTGCTGGCTTCTTTAATTACTTCTTGAGCGGAATATTTATTGTCCATTTCTACAATTATGATTCCTGGCCTTTCATTTTTTGAATGAAAATGATGAAGACGCGTAGTTTTCTCACCATCAAGTTTAAGTGCTGTAAATGTTTCATTAATTGCTTTTTTATCGTCGTCTTTTTTTTTTTTGTTTACATCTGTTTCTTTCGATTCATTAATACCAAAAAATAAAAATAAAAAATCTCTTTTGGCTCTTTCCATTGTTTCAACAGAGACAGCATTTAGAAATATTGTCTCTTTCTCATTCATCTTTGGTTTATTAGCAGTAAAAAGACTTCTAAACAAAACTTTAGAATTTTGATTATTTATTTTTCCATTTTCTAGTTCAGATATACGCTTCTCTAAGAGGTCATTTCGCTTCAGTAAGTCGTTTACTAAACCGTGAAGAGCTTCGAACTTCTTTTCTTAAAGTTCTTTATATTTGCTGAAATCTCAAATTTGAACATTTACCATTATTAATCCACTTTATAAATCTCTTTTTTAAAAAACATTTGCGTATATCAAGCAAAAATATGTTTTCTCGCTTTAAAGGCGGAAAATGTGAACAATTTTGTAAAAAAAAAAAAAAAATTCTAGCATTTAATATTTTAATTACTTGTTAACTTTGTGTAATAATTATAGCAGTTTGTTTCTTTAATAAAAAACATTATTTTGATGGGGTTTTAGATGTTTGGGCCAGGCCGGCATTTAGGTTTTTTTACAACCCGTGCAATTTAAAAAAAAAAAAAAACCATTAGCGTTCGTATAAAATTTATCAAAATGAAACGCCTAATTTTTCAGCATTTTTTTTTTTCAAACAATTATGCGATTGATAGTTTTTTATTTATTATAAAAAACACATATTAAAAATAAAAAAGAACAATTAGTTACTGAAACTAAAAATGCATTTTCAAAAACAATAAAAGAAACCATGCTTACTTTCTTCATTAACAATACTTTCAAGAGAATTAACAAAGCACGCTGTTGAAAAAAGTAAATATGTTTTAGCATGGTTTTTATATACATTTACAAAAGCATCGAACATTTTATTTATAACAAATGCAATTGCAATTATACTAAAGGAAACTATACTTAAACAACATAATTGCTTTCTTCAAAAGTGTGCCTTTTTTTTAATTTTCTTATTTTCCTTTAAAGTGAAGTAATGTTTGTTTGCGTATCAAAAACACTTTGAAAAGAATTTTTTAAGTTTTGCTGAAGTATGCATATTAGTATTTAGAAGTATTATGTATATTATAGTTTTCATTTTTATTGTGCGTTTAACAACACCAATAACAGGATTTAATTTCTTCAAGTTAATATATTTTTTTTTTTAGTAAATAAATTTAACAAACTAAGTTTAAAATACTTCACTGTTTTGTTTCAATAGATAAAAATTTACAATCATTAGGTCATTGCTGATTAATTATCTTTAGTTTGCATGTACCAATGACGTATAATAAATAACTAGATGTCCAACTCCGGGTTTTTTTATAAGCTGCAAGTGAAGCCAACTTTTTTGTTTACAGTTTTAATCAGCCATTATTATATCGGGCAAAACATTCAATATATCATATAATAAAAAGAGTTAATTCGCGACATAATTTCTGTTAATTTGCTAAACCATTCATTTAAATTAGTTATTTCTATTGGTAATTTCACCAAACAATGGTTAATTCTTGTGCAATGGTTAATTCTTGTGAAAATTCTTTCTAAAATTTCCTATTTAAAATTCAGAATTGTGTAAAAAATGGATTGTTGCTTTGAAACGTGAAAATTGTATCCCAACTATTTATACTTATATATGTTGCGACTATTTTTTAGAATCAGACTATATTCCAGATAAAAATATTACACGTGTTGATCATCATTATAAACCAATTTTACAATTGAATGATGAGCCACCAGTTTTTGTATTTTCTGCAAATACACAAAAGCCAAAAAAGAAACTCCCAACAATACGAACACTACCAACAATTGATCCTTTGTCAAAAAAAAAAATTGATCTTTATCCTGCTATTAATGACACCAAGAAAGAAAGAAATTTAACACATAATTATCAGCCAGAAAGCACATCTCATAGTACTGACCAAACTAATCAATCTTCAACACTATCTGTATTATCGAGATCACCAACAAAAGAAAAATAAAAAAAAAAGTCAAAGCTTTGCAGCAAAAGTTAAGAAGAAATAAAGAAAAAATTAGTTCTTTAAAAGACATGGTTTCCAATTTAAAATCTAAAAGTTATTTGTCAACAGATGCTGCAACTGTTTTAAGCAAAAAATTTTCTAGACTCTCTTATGAAATCATTAAAAATCAATTTCTCAATCAAAATGTTGAACCAAAAGGTCACAGATACAATGATAAAGTAAAAAGATTTGCTTTAACTTTTTATTTTTATTCCCCAACTGCATATAACTTTCTTTAACCAATGTTGTGTCTTCCTGCTGCCAATTCAATATCACATTAGACATCAATAAATTGTAAACCTCGTTTATTCTATGATGTTTTTATCTATCTTGGTGATAAACAGAAAACAGATGTAAACTTATTATTTTTATTGATGCTACGGCAATCAAAAACAGTATAACTTATGACAAAAGTTCAGGTCACTATATTGCTTTTTGTGATTTCGGCAAGGATATTATTGTTTGCTAATCTGATACTCCTGCTACTGAGGCATTAGTTTTCATGTAAGTTGGTTTTTGAGGACACTGGAAAACACCCATTGGTTATGTTTTATCGAATAAAGTTAAAGCAAGTGATTTAACATTCTTTATCGAAAACATTTTGAATTTGGCTTTGAGATATGTACTTTATATCAAAAGTATTACATCTGATAAAACAAGTACCAACTAAATTTCTGTTATCCCCTTTGGATGCCAGTTTGGCAAAGACATTGACAATATAGTCGGTGCTTTTTTATATAACGACCAACTGATACACATGTTCCTTGATCTATGACATATGCTTAAATTTGCAAGAAATTATCTTAATGATAAAGGTGTTTTTATTGATGGTGATGGACAATATATTAAATGAAGTTACATTAAAGCTTTGTTTAAATTTCAAATGTTTGAAGGTTTGAAATTTGCAAACAAACTTTCAAGAAAACATATAGAATTTCATCGACACATAATGAATGTGAAAATAGTTGGCAAAATAGCTACAAAGAAGCAACACATGGATATATCTCTGATTTTATAGTCAGAAAGTTGATAAACATGATTTTTTGTAATATTTGTGCCCAATCATTAACTGAAATTTTATCATACAAACATTCCTAATCTTATTCTTCGTTAAATAATGTTAAAAATTGTGATTGTTTGTTTTTACCATTAAGGGATGTTTTTTCTTTTGTTGAGTCGTGTGAAAAAATATTTAACTTCTTCATTAGTGGTAAAGATTTTAAAAAACTAAATATCACCTCTGACCGAAGTATAAAGCAGAAAATGATTCATTGTGTTAACAAATTAATCATGATTAAAAAAAAACTTGATAACGATGACATAGAATATTGGATTGTTATTAAAGATTTACATTCTAGCCAGCTTGTTAAAAAAATAAGTGAATGTTACTTTAAAATTCGATTGTTCAGATATGCCAAGGATTTTACTACTAAAGTGCTAAAGATGCAACAACTGGATTAAGACAACAAACAATGAAATTATTATTATTATTGAAGGGTTTATAAATGTTTATTTTTCAAATATAAAAGATTAAAATGCATAACGATGTTTTTGTTTAAATTCTATATGTTTTTAAATATGTTTTTTAATTTGTGGCTATTAAAAAATCTGTTTGTTTTAGTTTGTAAGCCAACACAATTCTCTTTGACCAAAACTAAATTATATTGGATGTAGGCTCATCACATTTATCATCTTTTGACTAATCATCTTTGATTCCAAAAATTTTTCAAAACTTTGAAATTGCAAATTTCCTTTCATTCGACTATGACTCACTGAAAGATTCTGCCCGATATAGTAATGGCCTTCAACGTATTAAGCAATATTAAATTGGCTTCACTAAAAACGGCGAAGTCCAATATCTAGTAATATCTTTATATCATTGGCATGTGCATTGCAAATGCATGAAAAATTGTTTTGAAAAAAAAATAACTAAATACAAAAAGCATCTTTATTAAATCTAATAATTTAAAAAAAATAAAATTTCCCTTATTTGACACATATCTCTTAAATTAGACGTTCGTCAATAAACAAAGATAAGAAACGCTCAACGCTCAACGCTCGTTTAAAAAAAAAAAAAACTTTTTGCGTCCTAACATATATATTATACCTGGTGTTATATATCTTTTTATTATAGGCACATTGAAATTCAGTTGAATAACTTTAAATACTGAGTCTCCATAACAAAAACTCCATTTAGAATGACCTTCCATAGATGCATTAATCCTACTATTCCAATATTTTCCATAAACAAAGAGAGCTGAAAACCATGCAGGTAAATCTTTAGAGAGTTTAGGTACCTAAAGTAATGTTATTTTTTGTTATTAAAAGTACAATACTTTTTAGATACGAAATGTTTCAAGATACAAACCCTAGATACAAAAACCTAATCTTTTAAGATACTACCCTAGATATGAATTCCTTTTTTTTTTTAAATACGAATAATTTTGTAGATACATTTTTTAATACTAACTCTGTTCATTGTTTATCCAAAACATTATGCTTAAATATAATCTTGTACTTTGTTACAAAAATAGTTCAAATACGTTATTATAATTAACACTTGTATACTTTTTTGTGCCAATCAACTGACAGGTTTTATTTAAACTTTTTTCTAAGCATCTAATAATATAAAACACCATATACAGATATATTTAATATGTACTTTTCCTTATAGATTTTTGTATAAAATTAGAATTTCAAAATTTTATGAAGTAACAGGTGCATATTAATAATAATATTATTATTTTTATATATTTAAAATAAAAATTTTTTTTTAATAGAAGTGTAACCGTAAAAGTGAGGGTGTTACAATTACTAAAATTAAACTTTATTTTAGTTTGTTACACTTTCATTAATTTTAATGGTATTTAAGTTGAAAAAAAAATTTTAAAAAGTTGGATTTCAAAGTTTTTTTTGGTTTGGTCTGACTGTTTTTGGTAAAAAAAATTTTTTACCATAAACAATCAAACAACTTTGTAAAATAATATTTATGCCTTGTTTAACTTTTACTTGTTTTAAATTAACTATAGAAAAAAATTTACGAAATTGAGCAATAAACTAATGCAAATAAAAAAAAAAATAAAAACTTGCACCATAACTTTAATACTGAATATTGTAAAATGATGCAAGATTTAAGAAAAGTGAAAATATTGTAAAATGATGCAAGATATAAGAACAGTGAAAATATTGTAAAATGATGCAAGATATAAGAACAGTGAAAATATTGTAAAATGATGCAACAGTGAAAATAAAAAGGTATATTATTAAATCACAACTAGATCAATAATAAATAAATATATAATCCAATGCAAATTAATTATTATATCAACAAATGTAATCAATCAAAAAATAACAATAATAATAATAATTATAATAGCAGTAATAATAATAATAATATAAAAACAACAAAAAGTATAAACTTTACTCTCTTATTTTTTTATTTATTACAGGGTTATGCGTAAATATAAACTATATTATACGGAAATATAAATTAAATTTTGCGGAAACATGAACTAAAAAAATACTAAAATATAAATTAAAGCTAGAAAATCCAAATAAGAAAAATAAATAAGAGTATATAAAACTAAAATACAAAATTAAAAAAAATAATAATTTATAATTTAACTTACTGTTAAAAAGATTTTTTTTAATTTGTTATTTTGATTACATGTTTTCGTATTTTGATTTTCTTCTTTTAATTTATATTTCCACATTTTTTAGTTTATAGTTCCGCATAATTTAAATAATATTTCTGCATAAACAAATTTATGTTTTTGCATAGTTTAATTCATATTTCCGCACCCTGTAATTAGACAAAATGTAACAAGATGCGACCAATTATAATACAAATTTAAGTACACTGTTGTGTCAGATAAAAATTCGTATGTATTTTTTTACAATAGCTAAAGAAGACAACATAACATGTACTTTAAACTGCTGCAGTGCTTACAATGCAAAAAGCAATTTTTAAAGAATGCAGAAATACAAGAAAGACAGTGGATGCATAAATAGAAGTTAAAATATTTTAATCAAAACTAGCACACAAATAGATATCTGCTTTAACTGTGCCAAAGTAAGAGTAAAGCATTTTGTTTATTTGCTGTTATGAAATACCTTACAAGCTTAAAACTTTGAAGTGCAGGGAAAACATATTTGCTATTGCTAGAGTTAAAAATGGGAAAAAAATCCTGAAACCCTGAAAGAAAAAAAAAAAATCAAATAGCAATACTTCTAAAAAATGTGCTAATTTTTCTTTATCATACAGAATTTCATGATATTACTTTATTAGGCAGTTGTAATAACAAACATTAAAAAAATTTGTCAATCAAAATTTGAACTTCTTAAATAACTTGAATACATTTCAAAAAACAATGACCTCAATAACAAAAAATAAGAAAAAAAGGTTTATTAGAAAATTAGATTTATTATAAACTAAAAATTTCTAGCAAATATATCCTCTGATTGGGTCTTTTTGATTAGACTAAATATTTTGAATTTCATTTTCTTTTTGCATCTTTTTTCTTATTGCTTTACTTCGCCGAAGTAAGAAGAAATTAAGCTTTGTTTTCATTGGGTGAGCAAAATCTAAATACAAGTAAACTCCACTAGACCATCTTTGCGAAACCTTGTTACAGTTTTTTTGCAAACCACTTTGCCTTTAACTTAACATATAAAGTCAAGGATTTTACCACACTTTTTTAACAAATTAACCCAGTTAATAAATCACAATATTTTGATGAAATCACAGACAGATAATTTTATGATAACCTCACTGAACTTGTTTCTTTAAAGAATAGTTACATAAAACAGCATTACCTATCAAGTTTTTTGTGACAATATTATTGTTGACCAATTGGAGATTTTTTTTAAACATTACTTACATTTTCTTGATTTGCATCGAATTTTGTAAACAAAATTTAATTCATACATTAACAAAACAATAAGAATTTTTTAAAAAGACAATAGTTCAAGGCAGCAACTGAAACTTAAATGTCCTTACACTTGACAGAGCAAACAAAATCAACTATAGAAGTTTTCAATAACTACACAGCAATTTAGAACACACAAGAAGTCATACTTCAAACAGAAAAGGAATAAAGTTGTCAAAAGAGTTCTAGGTACACTTGCTTTAAAAAAGCTAAATCACATTGTTTTTAATTTTCTTATGAGAGTTTGAATTTTTTTGATAAAAATGGCTGTGTTTGCCCCAGTAAAAATATTGTTACAGATTATTGAATAAAAAATGCGAAAAGAGTCTGCAACAGTATAGAAACGTCAAAATACTCACATTCTTCTTGATAAACCTACTGATGGTGAAACATGCTGTTGAAGATATATAATATAATTATATTATAGATATATAATATATATAGTATATATATATATTATACTATATATATATATAGTATATATATAGTATATATATATATATATATATACTATATATATATATATATATATATATATAGTATATAGATATATACTATATATATATATATATATATATATATATATATCTATATATATATATATATATATATAGATTATATATATAGTATATAATATATTATATTATATATATATATATATATATATATATCCCAGCCGGCACATCTAGTTTTAATCTCGGAATTAAAACCCGTATAAACACGTAATTGTTACGATCCAGGCGTAAACCAAAAACACGTGGATTTCACGGAAAGTTGAACTGGAGTTATACACGTGGTTTCTGAGGTTTCAAACACGAGTTTATTTTATTTTTTAACACGGGTTTTATGAGGTTATAAATACGAGTCTTATGAGGTTTCAATACGGAAATTAAATCTAAAACATACACGTGTATAACGCGATCAAATTGTAAACCAAAAATACGAAAGATTTATTAAAGCCTGCTACGGAATTTATACTAAGATTTCAATCATGCAAACTACTTTTTTTCTAATTTTTGATCAATGATTGGTGACTTTTTATCAATCAACATATGCAAATTCTCTAAACTTCGATTGACTTCAACTAAAATATGATCGTTTTATTATATTTTACTTGCATTTTTTTAAGAAAATCCAAAATTATATTTCAATTTCTTCCAAGCTTTTTTACCATTAACAATATAAATATACCAAATAAAAAACTAAATATAAAAGATAAAGAATATACAGTTTAATCTCTTTTGGCAGCATGAGCTCTTCTCATACCTTGCTTCAAACTTCCACTCAAAAAGGATTTCAAAAGTTTTTCTGATAACTTCCATAAAACTAACGATGCTAGAATGGAAGAAAAAATCAAAGGCAAATCGTGTGTTAATGACAAATGGTCAGTATAATTTTTATTTGGCACGTGATTACCATACATAACATTAACTTTAGATTGCAATTCCTCGGTCATAAGTGAATCTAAAATTGCATAGCAATGCGCTTTTGAATCTTTGCAGACAGGTCCCATTGCTTCAAATTTCCGCGTTAACTTTTCTTTAATTAAATTGTCTTTAAGACGAATTTCGAATTTTATCAGGTCGTCCATTGAGGTAACCTGATCAAACGTAACTACATTTGAACCTTTATCTAAAAGCTGTTGTAAAAGACCAACAGCCATATCGACAGTTTTTTCAATCTTGGTTATTTTTATTTTTAAGTGATGTTGTGACATTATTATTTTACGCTGAAAAAATACTAACTTTTACCTGAAAAGGCTATTAGAGCCTCAATACAATTATTTTCATCAGCAGCAATTAAATTTTAGCTCATTGGCTTTTTT